GTGGTGCTGATTGTCACGAAGACGCATGGTGTACAAACACTGCGGGCTCATATAAATGCTTCTGCAAAGAAGGGTATCATGGGAATGGAACCAGTTGTGAAAGGTGAGACTTGCGCAAATAAATTTAATGATGTAGTTTCAAACAATGATGTAGTTTTTGCTCTCTTTTTTTTCGCACAAATCAACACCTTGTTTCCAAATTGATATGATCCGGGTATCGGCTTGAAATCTTAGGATATATATTGCTGTCTACATATTGACGTCGTTAAGTAGACTTGTCGCTTCCTTGTCGTTTAGTTAAAGGGATACCTGACCGCGAATTCTCTGAATTCTCTCCGTTTTTAGTGTCTTTTAAACGGTTTTATACAAGAAGTCAATTTCAGAGCCATCCGGACATGATGCAGCGAAACGACTTTGTAGCGAAACGACCGGTAAGCGTCTAAAGCAACTCTTTTTGTTTTACTTAGAAATGAGTGATTAATGAAGATCAACTAGTGTAGAAAGAAGTGGGAAGGAGACAAAGGAAGATGTTCTAGTGACACCTTTGGAACGGGAACTACGCACTGGAAGAGACGAAATCTGAAGTTCCAAGTGGCCATGATCTTCTCACGAAAACCATGTGGTGGGCGGTTGCAGTAGATTATAATACTTTACGTATTACAGTAAATTGCATGCAAGATAATCAGTGGTAGTATAAGCCAACATATATGAGTCTCGTTATCTTCATCGTCTTTACGGACAGCCGACCGTTCTATCTTCAAGTTCAGTAGTCCCTTAAAGATCAAAACACTTGCAAAAGTAAGATCTCCTAAGTCTTGTGATACAAAGTTGGCGTTTCAATGGTATGAGTCTACTGAAAGAAAAGATTTTTTGAAAAATGGAGTTTATGACTACATTTTCCAAGCTTTTTGACACTATGCAAAATCTTGAACGGTGAAAGAAAGTTTTGTCAATGGATTAAGACTTCAGTCGTCAGAGTGATAAACTGAGTTGTGACCTTTAGCGTAAATCAATATAAAATCCGAAATAGTATTCCTATTTTACCGCTAGACGCACGTATTGATATCTTTGAATAACATTTTGCTGGCAATTAGCTAGCAAGTAATCAATTTATATGCATTGATGGATATTAAAAAAAAATCCTATAGATAATGCGTACGCATACTATCAATTTTAACAACTGCAGTGAATAGCTCATAAAAACGTGAGATAATAGAGATTTAAAGTCACGTATACGGCGAATGGGAAACGTGAACTTGAACCACGTGACCATCTTTTCCCTTTACTTGTCGTTCACTGTTTATTATTTCTACTCAAAAATGAGAAGTTTCACCCCATTGTCGTTTGTCGTAAACGTGATTCGAAATCTCTCGAATGAGCTTTGACGGAGTCTGCGAGCGGGTAAGGTAAAGCAATTGGGCTTCTGGATAAAGCGAATCCTGCATGTATTTTGAATGGCTGCCCGAGCAGGCAAGATGGCCTTTTCATATACCCAGCTCGGAATTTCACGCCGGCATTGGTCCCACATGAATACATTTTATTTTGGCTGGCACGTCGTAGATTGACCAGGTTTGTCTGGGCAAAATGGTCAGATATTGGCCGCTTTCTTTTTACTTCCCATGGGGTTAGCTCTCAGGTTTCAGAGTCAGATAATTTCGCTCGACGTATGTGGGAATTGAATCAGAGGCTAAAGAACTAGGTAAATAACAAACAAGGACAAAGATCCCTGAAAGAACATTAATAAGGCGATCAACCGTTGGCTGTTTTTAATTTTACCTTTCTTTTTGCCTTTTACGATATTTGGACTCGTTTGCGAGTGTTGTGTGGCTCGGTGCAGCAATGCGTACTCGCACCTTCGTGCACGTCTTCAAACGTCTAGTACAGATATAGTAGTGCAACTTAATTGCAAACAACGTAGTGCTTAAGGAAGACAACAGTGGTTCATGACAAACGTTTTTACTGTTATCATGCTGTTGTTGGCTGCAAAACTGCATTTTAAGGCCAAATTAGTAATGGTAACAGGATTGAGTGGAGTCCAATTCGGTCTGTAATCATACGAGTGATTAACAAAATCGGAGGACCGCGTAGATTTGTTCAATCACAAGTATGATTACAGACCGAATTGGACGACACGAAGTTCTGTTACCAATTAATCATAACTTTAACAAAATTTGTGATATATAGAGCTCTTTTTAAATCAAAACACAAGAAATTCCAAGATTTTTCCGCTAGCAATGAAAAAAAGAAAAGCCATTTAAGCGCGCGCGTGATGGCGCTTACTGTCCAATTACTTAGGCATGACGCGTACTGTCCTATTAAACTGTCCTATTAAGGCCGAAATAAGGGCAGTTGAGAACCAATCAGATTTGAAAATTTTGTTATAGTTCTGATTAAAATAGGACTAAAACGTGGAACGAAGAAGACGGTACAGGTAATGCGTTATCAGGGAAATCAATAGCTCCAGTACCGTAAAATAGAAACCACGCGCTCAAATAGTCAACAGCAACGATAACATTGTATATGCTATTTTCAATTCCGGAAAGCCGAGTGAGGTAACCAGAAGTATTTTAAAAAATTACTTAAAAACCCAACGTTCTAACACTAATTTTCGGGCTCAGCTCACCTATCAGAACAACCACAACAAATGTGCTTTTTTGTAAAATAACTTTTATTGAGACTCAAATCATGTTCCAGATTTAAAAAAAAGAAAAGATACACTTGTCAAAATCCTGAAGAAAGAAGAACATGTAGGATATCTGCAGAAAAATGAACATAATGTCAGTGGCTTTTCTTCAATGTTCATATTACACTGCCTTTTCCCTGAAGGCTGCTTGTGAAATGTCCCGATAAGCATTTCTTGTCTTTAGCAAAAATTCACGATCGTGGAAAATGTAAAACAATAGGCTTCAGCTCTCAAAAATGTCAACAGCGAATTTGGCTGCTTAAACTCCGGGAAGACCAACAACATTAGGCGATTGACCTGCACCCATCTAAACGTCTTATTTTATTGGTCCCTATAACCTGCACTACCTACTGTTTACAGGGATAGGGGTATTGTTATGTCACCATCCCTATTGTGTTTCCAGCCAATCACAAACGTCGTTTGGAATAGGTGCAGGTCGGGTCAAGTTAGGAAGTTTAAGCAAAGGCGTTTTTGAGTGACGCAGGTCAACCGGAAGTAAGGCGTTTTCCCTTTTAATATATCTCCCCGTTGCCAAATATACTTAGTGTCAATGCTCTTATAGAGACGACTTGCCCAGAAAATTGGCAGGAACCACTGCCCGAATATTGCAAAAAGTCCACTTCCGGTTAATTTGGGTCTCTGGCTCAAGACGTGCGGTAGGGAACTACATTGCAGGCGCGGATCGACACTGGTTTCCACCGTTTTACGAAGAAAATCGGTCAGATTTTTCATAAACAAATATACTTTAAGTAAAAAGAACTTTCCAAGTTGAAATCTGGCCATTATCCTGTCTGAATGACTTAGAAACCCAAGAATGGAGACTTCAAGGTCGGTTTGTTCAAAGAAGAGTTAAGTTAACCTAGGGTTAGTGAGAAATTTGATTTCAGATATAAAAGCTAGAGAAGCAAATTCAGTTTTCTTCTTCTTGCCAACAATTTGATGATTGGATGCTCTAAAAAGACGAGACGAAATTATCCGGGAAAATACTTTTGAACAAAAGAAAGAGAAACCCGGGTTGAAATTTAAACCTGGGTAAGCGCTAATCGGCCTTTGAACAACTGGGCCCAGGGAGTTAAAATCCAAAACATTTCCCGATGGTGCTTGTTCTCGGATCCCCGTAGAAGTTAGAGAATAGGTCAGTACTTATCCTAGATACGGGCTTGATTTACATTCTTAACTTACACAATGGATGACAAATAGTTTAAAACAGTTTACCCTTTGGGATGCTTTGTAAATGATTTGTTACACTGTACTTACATGATCATTGACATCCTTCGCCACCCCAACCGGGGTCAAATCCATCCCCTCTCTTGCCGGGAGGGCACTGGCATTTAAACTTGAAAGGGTTCTCACTGACCATGCATGTGGTACCTGGCTGACATAACAACGTTCCAGCGAAGATATAGCCGCCCCAACAGGGTTTCAATTGCACTGAAATGTTATCCATCAATATTTATGAGTACAGTCATTTTGATTAGCGATAATATACCTTTGACAGTGCATTTTTCAGCCTTAGGGTATATGAGAGGGTGACTGAGAGGGTAAGGATTACACTAATTTAAATATATGAAAGAGTAGGGAAATCTGTCATTTCGGTCGTTAATAGGAACCAAAATGACTGACAGATGCCTTTTATGTCTGTGAAAGAGTCGAAGAAACGTTCTAGTTTTGTCATTTGTGCTTTTCCTTTTTATCTTTTCACGCCAAGTTCGTTGTAGTTTTTAAGTAATCTAATTCTAGTTTTATTTTGTTATTTGTTTCTTAGTTAAACTTTTCGAAACCACTTCGTTAAACCGCTTTGTTATATTCCTTCATTTCATCGCTTCGCTAGACCACGCTTCACACCGCTATACCGTTTTGTAACGTATCGGCTACTTTACATCGCTTCACGTCGGTTAATAAAGGTTTAATTATGAACATTGAAGCGTGTTAAGAAATATCTGACTATCGTGGGGATCAAAGAATTCACTTATGCATACCTTCCTGTGAGGAACAAGTAGCAAGTACTTAACGTTGTTCTGCTCTCACACTAGGTATGTGAAACGGGTACCATTTGTCAACTGAAGGTATACAAAAGGGGTACCTTTCCTGTCAAAAATGGTGTGTGAAAGGGAGGGGCTGGACCTCGGGGCGGAGCCCCCGCGTACAAAGCTTTCTTGCGTACCCACCCCCCGCCCCTGGGAGTAAATTCCACACACAATATCCTACCTATATACTTCCTTTTTATAAATATAAGCCCCAATTCGAAAAGCTAGTACCCTATAATTTGGGAGTTAAGCATTAACGATAAGCCTTTACCCAATTACACGTGCAATTATCATCTGACCTTACCTCTTGGTGTCCACATGCCTGGAACATACGGCTCAGGATCTGCATCCCCTAGTAAAAAAATAAACAACAATCTCAGCGAAATTGCCACAAAGTGTAAAGTTGTATAGGTCAGAAATACTTGTACACATACAAGCCTTGTTCCTCAACATGTTAACTCTATGTTCTTTGAATTTTCAGTGTGGTCCGAGTTGGTAGTTCTTGTCAATAAACATATTGGTCATAACTTTTGAAATATACATCTTATCACTAGATTCCTAAAGGCCGATTTAGACGGTACGATTTTTGCTTACGACTATAGTGCGCGACTTGCATACTTTCATGACTTTCGACCGTCCAGACGCGCACAATTTACACGTTACAATTTGAAATCAAGAATAGCGTGCACCTACGACATCCACAATGTGTCGTAAAAATGTAGTGGGTCTAATTTACACGACACGATCTCTCCTGAAGTCGTGACACATGTTAGTCTCGCACGATGTATTGTACCGTCTAATTCGACCTTAAAACTTCCACAAAGACAAACCAGTACGTAGATACTTGCAGTGTTACTAGATATGACATTTCATTCTATAATTTGACAGTTTTATTTTCTAAATCATTTGAAGTAATCTTTGACACGCTTGATGATACAAATGGTCTTCATTTGCTGGAAGTTTTATGTTGTGTGGATTGTTTTGAGTTCCTTTTTCTAACAGTGTTCATGGCAACAAACAAAATCTCCGAAGCAGTTTAAAATTTATATATCACTCCACTGAGGACGCCATGTTGACACCAACATAAATATCCACTTTGATAAACAGTTTTGATAAAATCATCTGAGGTATACATACATGATGGAATTATTTTCACAGTTGTCTACAGTGGAGAAAGATGATAACTGCTACAAGAGCCGTCAAGTTATGTTATTATATTAAGTCCATATCTGAAATTCTAGTATATTAATATCAAATTACTGAATGATGCACCTACTTTTTTCAACCAGCATTTTAGAACCTACAAATAAGAATCACAAAAACAAAAAGGTTTACCAGTTTCTTTAATAACATATTACTGAATGTTGTGATTTACTTGCATTGATTCAAATTTTAACTGGATTTGCTATCACTGTACGATATTTGAGGCAAAACAGGTTATACTCTTTCACGGAGCTCTCTATAAAAGTAAGCTACATTCAGAATTACTCTGCAATGAATCTCTTAATAAATTAACAAGAATTCTCTCGCACGATATTTTTACTGTAATGATGTGAGACAAAAGTACGTGTGTCCTCTCTAAAAAAAAATACGGAAAAAATGTCTCCATTCACAGCAAAATGAAAATGAAAATAAAATGGCATTTTCTTTAACCTGATTTAACTTGAATATTATGCTTTGTTTTGTATCACTCGAATTGCAAATAAAATATCATTTCGCGGGGAAACCCAGGGGTTGCAAATTGATTGAAAATTTTCTCAAGCTATTTGTTACAGGGCTATATATTATATTACTTAAACATTTTTTTTGAAGTTATTGAGTACATGCAAACCTTCAGAAACACAGCCACTTCCAAACTTTGTAGCATCTCCTTGATAGCCAGTGTTACAGTAGCATGAAATAGCAGAATCACTCAATGAACACAAGGAATTTGGATCACAAAGAATTTTGGAAGCATGTTCATATGAGCCAAAGCAAGAAGACTCTGAAATGTAAGTAAACAAATACATCAACTTATGGTTTCGGTAAATAAAAACCCACTTTATCTTAGGAAAAATGACGTAAGATATTTTTTAAAAACGTTTTACGCCAATCTTCCTAGATAATGTGGAAATAATACATAGCAAAAAGCTATCTTTTAATCGAGAAAGCGGTGAGTCACAATTGCATATCCTTATAGTATTAAGGAAAACAAATATTCACTGACGCTAAAAACTTGTTCAACGACAACAATTCCAGCGGGTATGTTTTTTTGTTATCGCTATTGATGGTTCGCGGTGAAGCTGCGTCATGCGGTGAAGCGCAAAGCGCCGAGAGAAAAAGCACAGTTTATTTCAAAATAGGTATTTTGAGAACGGACCTCTGGAACTAGGATAAGTTTCACCGAAGTGAAGTGATTATTGTCAAAAGCCTGGGAGCGCTCTTTTCACCGAAAACAAGGAATATACGTTATTTTTTTACGGATTCTTCTCTCCTGAAAGTTTGCGACTGTTTTCATTTATGAAATGTCATACCCGGTTGTGGCCGTAGCAAGAACCTTGAATGACCATGAAAGCGCGTTGCTAATAAAGCGTGACACGGCTTTTAAGTGAAATGTCCATTTCTGTCATGTCTGGAAGTAGCTAAACTTGATAGCAAAATAGGACTTTAAAGGACTTTAAGCTTTCACCACACATCCTGAGTTACTGAGTTTTCTCGGGTTGGCCGGCGGTCAGCTTTCTGGCTTCTCCTTCAAGTTCTTGCTCAAATCACTTGCTACTCAGTTCGCTTTTTATCATTCAGGCGTGGAATTAGTTTGATCAGTTGTACAATATTATTTGTCAGCCAACTAAGCTTNCAGTAGCATGAAATAGCAGAATCACTCAATGAACACAAGGAATTTGGATCACAAAGAATTTTGGAAGCATGTTCATATGAGCCAAAGCAAGAAGACTCTGAAATGTAAGTAAACAAATACATCAACTTATGCTTTCGGTAAATAAAACCCACTTTATCTTAGGAAAAATGACGTAAAATATTTTTTAAAAACGTTTTACACCAATCTTCCTAGATAATGTGGAAATAATACATAGCAAAAAGCTATCTTTTAATCGAGAAAGCGGTGAGTCACAATTGCATAGTCTATCCTTATAGTATTAAGGAAAACAAATATTCACTGACGCTAAAAACTTGTTCAGCAACAACAATTCCATTAGATTACAGTGCATCAGTCAAGAGCCGAATTCAAAAACCCTAGGGCCCAGCGGATATGTTTTTTTCTTATCGCTATTGATGGTTCGCAGCGAAGCCGCGTCATGTAATGAAGTGCAAAGCGCCGAGAGAAAAAGCACAGTTTATTTCAAAATAGGTATTTTGAGAACGGATCTCAGGAGCTAGGGTAAGTTTCACCGAAGTGAAGTGATTATTGTCAAAAGCCTGGGAGCGCTGTTTTCACCGAAAACAAGGAATATACCTTACTTTTTTGCGGATTCTTCTCTCCTGAAAGTTTGCGACTGTTTTCATTTATGAAATGTCATACCCGGTTGTGGCCGGAGCAAGAACCTTGAATGACCATGAAAGCGCGTTGCTAATAAAGCGTGACACGGCTTTTAAGTGAAATGTCCATTTCTGTCATGTCTGGAAGTAGCTAAACTTGATAGCAAAATAGGACTTTAAGCTTTCACCACACATCCTGAGTTACTGAGTTTTCTCGGGTTGGCCGGCGGTCAGCTTTCTAGCTTCTCCTTCAAGTTCTTGCTCAAATCACTTGCTACTCAGTTTGCTTTTTATCATTCAGGCGTAGAATTAGTTTGATCAGTTGTACAACATTATTTGTCAGCCAACTAAGCTTAGTATCGCGCAAATATCGAGAAGACTGATATCAATTCAAGCCTTTGACGAAAACCTGCGGTTATAAGCTATCTTCTGAAACTGAGCTTACCTTCTCCCTGAACTCCAAATTATTTGTCAGCCAACTAAGCTTAGTATCGCGCAAATATCGAGAAGACTGATATCAATTCAAGCCTTTGACGAAAACCTGCGGTTATAAGCTATCTTCTGAAACTGAGCTTACCTTCTCCCTGAACTCCACAGATCAAAAGTGTGACAGCAAGGCAAAATATAACTCCTTTGGAGACAGATCTCTTCATGTCGACCTTACAGGTTCATTAGCAGCTTCAAGCCGTTAACGTTTGCTGCAATTTGTCTTTCCACTCCTTCTACAACTCTTTTCTTAGCCACGACAGCGCCGCGTCATCTCGTACGAAAAACTACTGACGCGAATGACGTGCGTTTCAAATTTCAAATTTCAAATTTCAAACCCTCGCTCACTTAAAATTTCCAGGAAAAAAGTTCCCCACTAGCAGGGGCGGACGGAGGATTTTGTGATAGAGGGGCCTGATAGAGGGGGCCTAGAGATATAGTATACAGTGACATTATGGGCGCAATAGCGCCCCTTAGGACTGCGAGTGGCGCACTTTTCTAGGGAGGTTCGGTTGCATGCTCCTCCGTCAAAATTTTTGAGATTGAAGTCTCTGAGATTCTGGGCGCTTAAATCTAGCAAATACCTGGATTCCATATTGAACATGTAATGCTGAAATATTTAATAAACCACAAAAGGGGAGGCCGGGGCCCCCTGGGCCCACCCCTAAATCAGCCCTTGACTAGTTTTGTAGTTACTAAGTTTCCAACAAATAATCACACTAAATCTGTAGCATTATACTGGCGTATCTCTGAAAAATAAAACGAAAACAACGCTCCTCACCAAGTTACATATTTTCCCGCGTAAACTGATGTGTTGTAAAGCAAACCAGAAATGGAGATCACACAACTTTTTATGGATCAATCTGATTTCCTTAACTTACAACTATATAAATAAATCAGTAATGTTTTGAATCGGCAATCCTGAGAGACATGGAAAATAATTTTATTTTACCTTGGTAGCTACTAAACTTTGGTCGCGCTAATTTTTCGGACGAGCGCTCGGTCTTGTTGAGAAAAGTGGAGAATGTCTCTTTTGACCTTTTTTATGTCCTAACATCGGCGCGTTTATTCTCCGCATTGTTCCCAATACATTTCCCATGGTACTGATGAGGAGAATTGATTTGTCTATCATTCAAAACCTGTTTTATTTGGAGATTATTTGGGTTATTCCTGTGACCATAATAATGTAAATTTGATTTAGTAGCAGTATTTTATGGAGAAAACAGATGCTGATCACCCTTTGTGGTTAAAGGGATAGATCTACAAGCTGAAAATTACATTCTTGTGATGATTATTCATTGGTTCGATAATCATAGAACATTTTAGTTCATGAGTAAACAAACTTCATCATGACTTCACACATGTAAGGGATCGACCATTTGACTTTGAGGGGGGATTGGGTGATTTGGTTTGGGTGAGAATCTTTTTTCCCATACCTACATACCTGTAAGATTTTTTTCAAGCATTATACGCCATAAGAGATTTTTTTTCAGTGCAGGATGTTTTTTCCCCAGGAAATTCCTTGTAAGATATTTTTTCGCTCAATATCAGTCTGTAGGATATTTTTTCTGACATCACCCATACCCCCCTCAAGAGTCAAATGGTTGGCCCCTAATCTCAACAACACAGGGCAACCAAACTTTGCATGTCAATCTGGTGTATTTTAATCAACAAATTGGTTTATTTTGCTGGTCTAAGCAAAAGTGACGTTATTCAACAAATTTATAATTTTTTGAAATTTTAAGTAAAAATAATCCATTTTAGAGTCAGATTTATAAGTAACTACCACAATAAATAATGGACAACATGTTGTAAGATTTGGCATGAGCATGACAATAGGAAAGTCTAAGTCCTTTTCAAGACCTGTTCATAAAATGTCATGGATATGATCAGGCCAGGACTGGTCATCAAGAAATCAGATTCTTGAACAATAAGATTCCTCTTGCGTCCACACCAAATCCTTGATGGCAAACCTCACACAGTCTTCAGGCATTTCTTCAGATGAAAATATTTGGAATTAACAAAGAATAAAATTTCATCTTTGAATTTTTTCCACAGATATTCCCCCTCTCTGCTGTATTCGTCTGTACAAGTCAATGTAATGTGCTGCCTTAGTTGTCCATGGGACAATAAAATCCTTACAAAAGTTTGCTTTTTGTAACTTTGGCTTCATGTCCATAAGTAGAAGTTCATTCAAGAAACTCAGTGCAAAGTCGTAGCAGTTGTTTTCGATTTCATCATACCTACAAAAAAGAAATGATTATGAGAGAAAATAAAGGAGTCATTAGCCTATGAATTTGTATGTATACTTCATGACAGACCGATCCCACCCTCATTAGTCCGCAAGAAAGATGTTGTTGAAGTTCCATATAATAACTCTTTTATTGTACACGCGTGTTTGGTCAGGATAACTGAATATTGACCTCACTCTTTTTTTTCTTTTTCATTTTTGTGGATGGGCAAGACAAAGGAAGTGCAGGGGGGAGTTATTGTAGCTATTTTATAGTTATATCACCACTGAATTATTGTAATCCAAGTTCAAAAGTGAAAATTGGTGAATTCCTATTTTTATTAATATTTTTGTCTCATTAAATTGTGTCTGTTATATGCACCATTGTTAGAGCGACTTTCGTATGACCTTGAAATGAAAACATGCGAATAAAAGAGAAACAACAAACGAATGGATATAGAGCAATTTGATTGGTTTATCGAACGAATACAAACACGCGTGGCTTTTGGTTGGTTACGCGAATGCTCATGTGAAAAAACTTCATGCCCAAGAAATTTTTAAGAAATAAATCCATACTTTGCTTTGACATCATACTGCAACATGATTGGCCAATCGAACAATGCCCTCTCCATAATAGGGCTTTCTTTGGTGGGAAAACGAAGAGTCCATGTTTTGATCTTTTAAACTATTGGCTGATAAAACAAAATAAAAAAAAAACCGAAACCATTTTTCAAGGTCACAGGAAAATCGCTCTATTCTATTCTTTTTATCATTACAAAACAAAATGCTCAGTAATCTTCCTCATCCACCTCCTTCTCCCTCCCCATATCCATATAAACTCATCAGAAGATTAAAAATTTGATATGTCAGTTAAGCCAATAACAGGGACCACCACATATTTTAGATTGGTAGGGCTAACTTGTGTGTAGCACAAGCTTTAAATCAGAGCACCAAAGGTGCGAGTTTATGTAGGGGGGTCCAGGGGCATGCTCCACCAGAAAATTTTGAGACTTAGAGCTTCTGAGATCACCAGAAACACATTTATTTCTACCCAGTCCTGTGGACATTTTTTTTGTCTAATTTTTATCACCATTCTGTTTATAAGTTTTCTGCACAAAAACATACATTTGATAAAGAAATTGTGTTTGCTTTTAACAGAAAGATAAGAAGTACTTTCATAAGTGCAAAAAAAATTATGGCAATATTATTGACAGGGCTATAGCCCACCGTGCCCCATAGCCCCATGGTCCTTGAATAAGTTCACACCTAAAAGGTTACATGATCATTTCCAGATGTGCATATGGACTTAGAGGACTGGTTTACCACTCACTCCTCAGAAGTCCAAACCCCACTCAAAAGCATCTGTTGAAGCTTAGAATCCCAAATATCTGATCTCAAAAAATAAATATCACTCATGCTTGCAACAATGCATTGTTCCCAATCAGTAGTGTCAGCATGAAGTCCAAGCTCATCAAAGTTATAAACTACTCCATTTGATGCAGCAACTCCAATGTGCAGATCATCACCACTTTTATAATCCCTGAAAAGTTGACAAGTAATGAAGCATTAGTGGTACAGGTTAAGGCAGACACCATCTAATAAGACCAACATTGCCTAAGCATAAGCCAGGTTCAGAAGCATCAACGGTGGCAGATCCAGGGGAGGGGTCCAGGCCTGCAACTCAGGGTCTGGATGACTCCCCCCCCCCCCCCCCCCCCCCCCCCCCCCACGCCCTGGTTTCGCCCCCTTTACCCCCCCTAAAAGCCCGCCTCCCTCGCCCCCCCCCCACCCGGCCAGCCCCGTCACTCACTGATATTATTTATCGCGAGGGATCTCAATTACAAATAAAAATACATTGCATAGAAGGGGGTATAGATTATTTAAAAGCACAGTAGCATGAAATAGCAGAATCACTCAATGAACACAAGGAATTTGGATCACAAAGAATTTTGGAAGCATGTTCATATGAGCCAAAGCAAGAAGACTCTGAAATGTAAGTAAACAAATACATCAACTTATGGTTTCGGTAAATAAAAACCCACTTTATCTTAGGAAAAATGACGTAAGATATTTTTTAAAAACGTTTTACGCCAATCTTCCTAGATAATGTGGAAATAATACATAGCAAAAAGCTATCTTTTAATCGAGAAAGCGGTGAGTCACAATTGCATATCCTTATAGTATTAAGGAAAACAAATATTCACTGACGCTAAAAACTTGTTCAACGACAACAATTCCAGCGGGTATGTTTTTTTGTTATCGCTATTGATGGTTCGCGGTGAAGCTGCGTCATGCGGTGAAGCGCAAAGCGCCGAGAGAAAAAGCACAGTTTATTTCAAAATAGGTATTTTGAGAACGGACCTCTGGAACTAGGATAAGTTTCACCGAAGTGAAGTGATTATTGTCAAAAGCCTGGGAGCGCTCTTTTCACCGAAAACAAGGAATATACGTTATTTTTTTACGGATTCTTCTCTCCTGAAAGTTTGCGACTGTTTTCATTTATGAAATGTCATACCCGGTTGTGGCCGTAGCAAGAACCTTGAATGACCATGAAAGCGCGTTGCTAATAAAGCGTGACACGGCTTTTAAGTGAAATGTCCATTTCTGTCATGTCTGGAAGTAGCTAAACTTGATAGCAAAATAGGACTTTAAAGGACTTTAAGCTTTCACCACACATCCTGAGTTACTGAGTTTTCTCGGGTTGGCCGGCGGTCAGCTTTCTGGCTTCTCCTTCAAGTTCTTGCTCAAATCACTTGCTACTCAGTTCGCTTTTTATCATTCAGGCGTGGAATTAGTTTGATCAGTTGTACAATATTATTTGTCAGCCAACTAAGCTTAGTATCGCGCAAATATCGAGAAGACTGATATCAATTCAAGCCTTTGACGAAAACCTGCGGTTATAAGCTATCTTCTGAAACTGAGCTTACCTTCTCCCTGAACTCCACAGATCAAAAGTGTGACAGCAAGGCAAAATATAACTCCTTTGGAAACAGATCTCTTCATGTCGACCTTACAGGCTCATCAGCAGCTTCAAGCCGTTAACGTTTGCTGCAATTTGTCTTTCCACTCCTTCTACAACTCTTTTCTTAGCCACGACAGCGCCGCGTCATCTCGTACGAAAAACTACTGACGCGAATGACGCGCGTTTCAAATTTCAAATTTCAAATTTCAAACCTTCGCTCTCCAAAATTTCCAGGACAAGAGTTCCCCACTAGCAGGAGCGGACGGAGGATTTTGTGATAGAGGGGCCTGATAGAGGGGGCCTAGAGATATAGTATACAGTGACATTATAGGCGCAATAGCGCCCCTTAGGACTGCGAGTAGCGCACTTTTCTAGGGTGGTTCGGTTGCATGCTCCTCCGTGAAAATTTTTGAGATTGAAGTCTCTGAGATTCTTACCCTGGGAGCAGAGGCTACATTTTCGCTGTGTTAGCTGGCGTGCGAAAAGAAGCCTCTGCCGACAACAGTTCAATTTTCTATCGTAGCAAAATTAATCGTCCGTTCTGTCGTCAAATGGCGCGAGTTTCGCGGGAATAAAAAAATTGCGTTAACTCTGATCTGCTAACTGCTACGCAAGATTCACGCAAGATTCGCGCAATGCTCTAAACCGGTCAGGAACCGAGGAAAAAAACCCGTTTTTTTTATTTATTCGTCCAGATTTCTGGACGGATTTGAACGGTTGTCGGCAGACGCTACTTTTCGCACGCCAGCTCCTACAGCGAAAATGTAGCCTCTGCTCGCAGGGTATGAGATTCTGGGCGCTTAAATCTAGCAAATACCTGGATTCCATATTGAACATGTAATGCTGAAATAGTTAAGCAAATTACCAAGGTTTTTGAAAAAAATCCACTTTTCAGCATAAAACAACCAAATCTGTCTATTTCATGTCAAATCAGGTGAAAAAGTTGGTAAAAGGCCATTTTTAGGTTTTTTGATTAATAAACCACAAAAGGGGAGGCCGGGGCCCCCTGGGCCCACCCCTAAATCAGCCCTTGACTAGTTTTGTAGTTACTAAGTTTCCAACAAATAATCACACTATATCTGTAGCATCATAAGTACTGGCGTATCTCTGAAAAATAAAACGAAAACAACGCTCCTCACCAAGTTACATATTTTCCCGCGTAAACTGATGTGTGTTGTAAAGCGAACCAGAAATGGAGATCACACAACTTTTTATGGATCAACTGTCTGATTTCCTTAAAATAAATCAGTAATGTTTTGAGTCGGCAATCCTGAGAGACATGGAAAATAATTTTATTTTACCTTGGTAGCTACTAAACTTTGGTCGCGCATATTTTTCGGACGAGCGCTCGGTCTTGTTGAGAAAAGTGGAGAATGTCTCTTTTGACCTTTTTTATGTCCTAACATCGGCGTGTTTATTCTCCGCATTGTTTCCAATACATTTCCCATGGTACTGATGAGGAGAATTGATTTGTCTATCATTCAAGACCTGTTTTATTTGGAGATTATTTGGGTTATTCCTGTGACCATAATAATGTAAATTTGATTTAGTAGCAGTATTTTATGGAGAAATCAGATGCTGATCACCCTTAGTGGTTAAAGAAATAGATCTACAAGCTGAAAATTACATTCTTGTGATGATTATTCATTGGTTTGATAATCATAGAACATTTTAGTCCACCAGTAAACAAACTTCATTATGACTTCACACATGTAAGGGATTGACCATTTGATTTTGAGGGGGGGATGGGTGATTTGGTTTGGGTGAGAATCTTTTTTCCCGTACCTACATACCTGTAAGATTTTTTTCAAGCATTATACGCCATGATAGATTTTTTTTTCAGTGCAGGATGTTTTTTCCCCAGGAAATTCCTTGTAAGATATTTTTTCCCTCAATATCAGTTTGCAGGATATTTTTTCTAACATCACCCATACCCCCCTCAAAAGTCAAATGGTCGGCCCCTAATCTCAACTGCACAGGGCAACCAAACTTTGCATGTCAATCTGGTGTATTTTAATCAACAAATTGGTTTATTTTGCTGGTCTAAGCAAAAGTGACGTTATTCAACAAATTTATAGTTTTTTGAAATTTTAAGTAAAAATAATCGGCTTAAATTATAGAGTCAGATTTATAAGTAACTACCACAATAAATAATGGACAACATGTTGTAAGATTTGGCATGAGCATGACAATAGGAAAGTCCAGGTCCTTTTCAAGACCTGGTCATAAAATGTCATGGATATGATCAGGCCAGGACTGGTCATCAAGAAATCAGATTCTTGAACAATAAGATTCCCCTTGCATCCACACCAAATCCTTGATGGCAAACCTCACACAGTCGTCAGGCATTTCTTCAGATGAAAATATTTGGAACTAACAAAGAATCAAATTTCATCTTTGAATTTTTTCCACAGATATTCCCCCTCTCTGCTGTATTCGTCTGTATAAGTCAATGTAATGCGCTGCCTTAGTTGTCCATGGGACAATAAAATCCTTACAAAAGTTTGCTTTTTGTAACTTTGGCTTCATGTCCATAAGTAGAAGTTCATTCAAGAAACTCAGTGCAAAGTCGTAGCAGTTGTTTTTGATTTCATCATACCTACAAAAAAGAAATTATTATGAGAGAAAACAAAGGAGTCATTAGCCTGTGAATTTGTATGTATACTTCATGACAGACCGATCTCGCTCATTAGCCCACAAGAAAAGATTTTGTTTAACTTCCATATAATAACTCTTTTATTGACCACACTTGTTTGGTTAAGATGGCTGAATACTGACGTCACTCCTTTTTTTTCTTTTTCATTTTTATGGATAGGCAAGACAAAGGAAGTGCAGGGGGGAGCTATTGCAGCTATTTTATAGTTATATCACCTCTGAATTATTGTAATCCAAGTTCAAAAGTGAAAATTGGTGAATTCCTATTCTTATTAATATTTTTATCTCATTAAATTGTGTCTGTTATATGAACCATTGTTAAAGCGATTTTCGTATGACCTTGAAATGAAAACACGCGAATAAAAGAGAAACAACAAACAAACGGATATAGAGCAATGTGATTGGTTTATCGTACGAATACAAACACGCGTGGCTTTTGGTTGGTTACGCGAATGCTCACGTGAAAAAACTTCACGCCCGAGAACTTTTTAAGAAATAAATCCATACTTTGCTTTGACATCATACTGCAACACAATTGGCCAATCGAACAATGCCCTCTCCATAATAGGGCTTTCTCTGGTGGGAAAACGAAGAGTCCATGTTTTGATCTTTTAAACTATTGGCTGATAAAACAAAATAAAAAAAAAAACCGAAACCATTTTTCAAGGTCACAGGAAAATCGCTCTATTCTATTCTTTTTATCATTACAAAACAAAATGCTCAGTAATCTTCCTCATCCACCTCCTTCTCCCTTCCCATATCCATATCCACTCTAAACTCATCAGAAGATTAAAAATTTGATATGTCAGTTAAGCCAATAACAAGGACCACCACATATTTTAGATTGGTAGGGCTAACTTGTGTGTAGCACAAGCTTTAAATCAGAGCACCAAAGGCGCGAGTTTATGTAGGGGGGTCCAGGGGCATGCTC